AACAGGACATGTGCTATAGTTTCAATAGCCCCTTGTCCACAGGGGCACAATCTCAGCTTATATGGGACTTTTTTGTATCGGCCCTCCAAAACTGCTACATTGGGAACTGTAATGGCAATAAATAGTGTCTATGCCACAGATGAAAGACAGAATATTGAGAAATACCATGAATCTACATTCAATAAAAACTGGGTAAAGTATGCTCTTACATAGAATCTAACAACTGACTGATATTGTGATATTGTGATATTGCTGTGTATGAAATTAGCAAGAACTCCTGCTCTTTCTCAAACCAGAAAAAACAGTAATTTCTGGCTTCCTCTGGTTAATTAAACCAGTGTAGAATTATAATCCTGTCTGTGAGTTGGAATTCTTCAGGGAAGATATTTCTGGAATGCATACGTAGAAAAATATAGTTATGTTAGTATGTGACCTCTTAGTGCTGTTTAACTAACAAAAAGAGCACAGCAGATCATTGTAGTCCTACAGAGATATACCTATGGCAGCACTGAACCAAATGTATACCTCTGCTATTGCGAGAAGTATGCAGCTCTCTTTTGTGTACCTCCACTATCATTTGATATATGTACTGTCCCACTTATTAAAAAAAACAACCTCCCCTGTTTTTTCAGTCTTTAGTGTTGTACTGTTTCTGTTAAAAGCGAATAATTTCTGTCAAAATTCTGTCAAATTTGCTTCCCTAATCTATTCACAAACAATTTGAATTTCTGTACTAGTAATTATAGCGTGGAGGATCTAGACATGCAGGGGCGGGGGAGAGGAATTCCGAACGTATTTATCATCAAATGGTATATTAGCTGAATATATTATAAGGTCTGTAAGGTCATGTATATTTTGTCTTCCAGCGACTGGTTTCCTGTGTTATCTCATTAACAAATATTGAAAAGAAATATATTCCTAAACATTGGCTATGGGATCTTAAAATCGATTGCTGTGTAGATTTTCCCTTTGTATAGAGGGAAACATAGATTCCTAAAGCACTTATGTGCCCAACTGGGATATTTCCAGCCTTTTGTCTTAGATCCCTGGACGTTTTTTCTCTTTGAACTGCTGCCTGTGCTTTCATCCTCTGTGCCAGAAAAATTGAATAAAACAATTG